GCCACCGCCCCCTCTGCTTTTATGCCCTGAAGGTAGCATTGTGTAAGCTCAGCCCCAGGGCAGGGGACAATTTTCACGAATTGTTTACAGTGCTCTAATTTTTACACTGTCTTAAAGGGTCTGTGTGCATGCTGATTGCAGAAGGTAATATTTCCAGCATCAGTAACCATGGTAATGAATCATCCTCCTCAGAATGAGTGCCAGCTGCACGGAGTGTCTAGCGCGTAGCACCCTGGTGTTCTGCTAATGAGTGGTTTCATTAGCTATGGAAGGAAGGACATTTCCACTTCTTCACATCTTTGCATGTTTTGTTAAAGGCTCCTCCTTGGAAGCAACATTTGGAAAAAAATTAATCCCATTTGGCAAAACCTTGATCCCCAAAGGGAAGCATTCCTTGGTCTAGAAATTGGAGCATGCAGGAACATCCCTTTGAAGGCTGCCCGGCTGCTCTGCCGTAGCCAGCTCTAGTCCCAGCATCCCTAGTGCCTCTTTCTTTCCCCCATAGAAAACACTCCATCAGCATTTTCCTTTGACGGTATAGAAGTTTAAATATTTTAAAGACTTATGCTATGAATAATTTAAGATAAATAAAGCAAGCCTCTAAACTCCTTTTGAATTATATAACAGGAGCTTTGAAGTGTGTTAGCCTTCTGTCTTACCAGATTTCATTTTTTTTTTTTTTTGTGGGAAGACTGAAGTGGGAATGAAGTCACGCTGTCCTTTATCTGATGATGAAGCTGAGAGGCTGAGCATCTGAGCCGCACAGAGATAAGAGCCTGAAGTCACGGATGCCGCTCCTTGTGTGGGGGAGAAGACTCCAGACCACTGCTGCCAGGACAGTAGGGAAGGGAACTCGATATCCAGAGTTAAGACGGACATCCTCGAGTAGATTTGCCCTAGGAAGGCTGAAGGAAGTGCCTGCTCTGCCATTGTGTGCAGTGTGCTCATGTCTTTAAGCCTTCTGAGGATCCTAGGATGTAGCTATCGTTCCCACCCCACAGAGGAGAAGACAAGCACAGAGGTAACAGACCCACGGTTACCTACCTCCGTGTCAGACTTCTCACCCAGGGGACCTGACCAGAGCCTTTCTTGTAACCCTCTATGCTATGATGGAAGAAAGCTCAAAGAGGGCAAGGTTTGTTTGTTTGTTTCTTTCTTTGAGAAAAAAAAAATATTACTACATTTTTTTCTTTCCTTTTTTTAAAATTTGCTTTGAAGTTTTTTTTAGTGGGAGTATGAAGAGCTGTAGGTGTGTGGGTACGTATGTACCATGCCATGTATGGGGGTGGGGGGGTTGAAGGTGTGTGGGTACATGTGTACCATGCCATACATGTAGAATTCAGAGAGCAATGTGTAGAAATCTGTTCTCTCTTTCCAACATGTGGGTCCCTGTGATATCACCCAGGTCATCGGGCTTGTCTTGGCAGCCATCTGCTAGCCCGAGGGCATAGTTTCCCATCTCAGCCTGGGCTTCTGCCATTTGTCTCATATACATTTCTTTTTTGTCCTACATTTCAGATAGCACCTGCCTCACAGAGAGCCTGGGAGGACCGCATTAGAAGATGCACATATGAGCTTATAGTACCTGCTTCACAGAGAGCCTGGGAGGACCGCATTAGAAGATGTACATATGAGCTTACAGTACCTGCTTCACAGAGTAGCTAGGAGGACCGCTTTAGAAGATGCACATATGAGACTATAGCACCTGCTTCACAGAATGACTGGGAGAATCACACTAGAAAATGCACATACGGTGAGCTTCATTTACACTCTGATGTGCCGAGTGAGTGTGTGGAGATGGCAGCCACGACTGTTTCTGGAAAAACAGGACAATAGCAAAACAGCAAATTCTACAGAAAATTAAATTAGCAATCACAAAATTATTCACATTTCTTAGAGTTATGCTATCAAGAACTCATGTATTTCAAATTATTCATAGTTAACTAGATTATACATTCAAAAACACTTGCTCACGATCAACTATGAGGCACCATTTTATTTTGAAGAATTTTGCATTGGCATATTTTTGTTCTTGCTTTTATTTTTTGAGACAACATCCTGTGCAGCCCAGACTGGCCTTGATTCTGCTGCTCCTGCTTCCCCAGGATTACAGGCATGTCACACTATACCCAACTCTGACATTGCTATTCAAAAATAAACATTCTTTTCAAAGAGTTGAACATATATCACCAAAGGGGGTCAGGTGTTAATGCCTTTATATTGCTTTCTAAACACCGCAGAGAGAGACTGGAACAGACAAAACCTGATCAGCAAAGTGACTCCCTTGTGGGAGAAAAGTAAGAGAAGGTAAGTAAGGACAATGGCAGTCAGGACCTTGGCATTTAAAAAGAATTATCTTAACCCCTAAATTATTAAATGGAAAATTCCAGAAATAGACACCTCATACATCTTAAATTGCATGATAGCTCAAATAGCATTTTTTTTTTGCCTTTTTTTTTGGTTTTTCGAGACAAGGTTTCTCTGTGTAGTTTTGGTGCCTGTCCTGGATCTTGCTCTGTAGACCAGGCTGGCCTCAAACTCACAAAGATCCTCCTGGCTCTGCCTCCTGAGTGCTGGGATTAAAGGTGGAATTCTGGGAAGTGGAAGACTGAAGCAGAGAGACACTGCCAGCCGCCACCATGACAAAGAAGATATGAGGTACCAGTAAGCCACGAGCCATGTGGCAAAGTATGGATTAATAGAAATGGGTTAATTTAAGATAGAATAACTTGATAGTAAGAAGCTTGAGCCATTAGGTCAAACAGTTTAAATAATATAAGCTTCTAACTGATTATTTTATAAGTGGACTATCGGACTGCTGGGCTTGGCGGGACCTGGAGAGAAAACTCTAGCTACAAATCACCACCACCACTCGGCTCCCAAATAGCATTTTCAAACCTCACACTGTCCTTCCTGTCCTGCCTGGGATGGACAGTGAATCTTCCCTGCCTAGTGTCTTCATACTGTGTATGATACCTGGTCATTTCAGTTACTAGACCCACGGCTGGAGTATTGAGACAGGAACTAGCTTCCTTTAGGCAATAAGGACAGGGTTGATGGTGGATCATGAGCTGCTTATGTGGCATTCACGACCCCAGCCTGGAACAGGCAAATAGCTATCTAACTGGTCAAGGTATGTGGGCTCCTTACTGGTTTGGCTCATAATGCACTAAAAAAAAAAAAAAATGACCAATCATGATAAAGATCACCCAGTCTTCATCCACTGGTTACCATAAGACCCACAAAGGGCCACAGGGAAGACTGCATGTGCCTGTCATACTCAGGAGTTTTCTCACTTTTCCTTAATAAACCCGTATTTGCTTGGCTCACTCCTTGTCTGTGTTTCCTTATTCTGGGATATGAGGCAATGCATTTGGAAGCCACTGGCTTGGGTGGCTTTGGTGGCAGTTGAGTTTCCAGAACCCTAGTCCCCTGAGTCAAGTCCACCAAGAACCTGGAAAAGCTCTCCTGAATCAACTTACATCATCATCACAGTCCTTATGTTAAGTATTATCTTGCTTAATGATGGTGAGAGGCTGGCAAGAAGACAGAATAGATAAAAATGCTTGCCACCAAGCTTGATAGCCTGAGTTAGCATGTGTGGCCACATAACAATACAGAGAGAGAGAGAGAGAGAGAGAGAGAGAGAGAGAGAGAGAGAGAGAGAGAGAGAAATGTAAGCCTTATGATTTGTCTTCAACCCTCAGAACTCACATGATGGAAGAGAAAACCTGACTTCTGCAAGTTGTCCTCTGCTCTCTACACCAGCACTGAGGCATTACTCCCCTCTACATAATATAATACACAAAATAATGAATAATTGTAAAAATCTCTAATAACAGTGTCAAAACTCAAGAGTATTGATGTTGGCAATTATCTTGCAGCATATTGTTACAATTGTCTACTTTATTGTGTAACTGTTGCTAATCCTTTCCTGTGCCTAATGTATACATTGAATTTATCATGGGCATGTATATACAGGAGAAAAGAAGGTGTAGGTAAGATGTGGCTCCACCTTCAGCTTCAGGTATCTGTGTCCTTCCCTAAGAAGGGAACTACTGGGTTCTGCTCTATACAAGTACACCTGTGACAAAATTTAACTTGCAATTTATATGTTAAGAATAACAGGGCTAGAAAGATGGCTCAGTAGTTAAGAGTGCTTGCCACTGTTGCAGAGGAGCTGAGGTTGAGTCTCAGCACCCGCACTGGGCAGTTCACAACCGCTTGGAACTCCAGTTCCAGTTCCAGGGGGCCCAATGCCCTCTTCTTCTGTCCTCTTCCAGCACGTGCACACACATGTGTTCTCTCTCTCTCTCTCTCTCTCTCTCTCTCTCTCTCTCTCTCTCTCTCTCTCTCTCTCTCCTACACATGCACACACAGAGTTAAAAATAAAACAGATATATAAAATATAATACTTCACAATAAAACAGAATATTTATAACAATTTTCTGTAGTAAGTTATATGATGTCTTTCCTTCAAAATACCCCCATTACACGCTACCCACCGTTCTTCGTGAGATGACATTCGATGGGATAGTACTGTGTGAGACAAGGAGGTGGAGTCAATGATAAGGGCAGTGTGTGGTAGCATTAGGACACTATACAGGAGTTCTTGAACATCACCTTTGAAACTGCAGAAGATAGTCTGAGTGAGTTAACTCCCCACAGTGGGCAGATGGTACATACTGTGTGGATAGACTGGATAAATGGATGCTTTCCCTACCAAATGGATGGATTGTATCATGCTACCCAAAATGGTACCATCTGAAAGTGGTAAATTATTTATTCATAGAATTTCCCCTATAAAGAACTTGAACTGTAGTTAGCAGCTGATGACTGGAACAATAGAAGGCGGGTGAGGCTGCTTCTCAACCTAGCCACCGTGGAGGGACTTTGAAAAGGCTAAAAACTCAAAGGCACAAGCATTACTATGTTAGCTACTTTTCTTGTTGCTGAGACTGAGTAGCCAACAGTAGCAACTTCGTGGAGGAAGGGTTAATTTTGGCTTGCAGACAGGCTACAGTCCATCACTTTGGGGAGATTCTGTGGTAGGGATTTTGTCCACAGTCAGGAAGCCAAGAGAAATGAATGCTGGTGTTTAGCTGGCTTTCTCCTTTCCTCAGCCCTGGCTGCCACCCCCTGGTATGTTGCTGTCTGTATGAAGGGTGTCACCTCAGTCAAACCACTCAGGAAACTCTCATAGACATCAGAGGTGTGTTTCCCTGATGATTCCAAATTCTATCAAATTGAACATGAATTAACCATCACGGTTACCAAATTAAAAACAACAACAACATGGATTTGAGAGAGAAATGGGGCATGGGAAAGAAAGAATGAAGGGCCCTCCCCTTTCTATCTCACGCTCAGCAAAGATCTTAGGATTCATCTCTGCCTCCCAGAAATGATCCCCTGCTTTGATTTTCCTCTTGGCTATTTTCCCAGTAGATTAAAAAAAAAAAAAAAGCTGTTACTTACTGAAAGTGGCCGAAAATAGTCTCTTGCTTTAAATGAAGATTTGGTTTGGAAGCAAGCTCCTCTGCCCAACATGCTTCTTCCTTTATGGTTGTAACTATATTCCAGAATTGAATCTCCAAGTAGAAACATGGAGCCCTAGGTCTTTCCAATGAAAAGCCACAAAGCCACCCGCTTTATTCGCATTGTCCTTTAAGACAGCACAGCACCATTCCCTTAAAAAAGTCTATTTCCATGTCTCGTCGAGTGACAAATGCTTCCCTTGGAGGAAAGAGGACAAGGAAGGAAGGCGTCTCTCCTGGCTCTGGGCCGTGGAACAGTACCCCTGGCAGTGGGGGCTGTGCCCACATGCTTCCCACTCAGAACCTGCGTACGTCTTGGCTGGCTTCCATTAACACAAACTCAGAAGGCCAGATGGGGAACGGAGGCAAGTGTGGGCTACAGTGAAGAGAGAGATGAATTAGCTTATTAAGAAATCAGCTACTTGATATAACGTGGCGCATTTCCACGGAACTTGGAACTGGGGTTCAATTCAAAGAGGAGAGGGGTTTCCCAACAGCTTGTCTCTGGATCACTGTGAGCCGCAGTGACTTTCAGAAACCGCCCTCTGCAGGTTTCTGGTGCTGGCCCCCAGCCTTCCTTGGGTGGCCATTCCTCTGGACACTGCCTTCCACTCTACTTTGGACATTTTACTCCTACTCCATATTTTAATGAGGGTAATACGCATGGATCAGCAATCTAGCTGATAATCCAAGCATAGTCTTGGGCTAGAGTGACGCAGGTGACCGACTAATGGAAGACATGCATTCTCCTGCAGCTTGGAGAACAAAGGAGACAAATGAGGGAAGAGTCACTTTGTGACAAGACAGACTAATCCATGTAACAGCCAGAAATAAGCTCCCCGGGAAGTGGTAGGTGCTGTGGTGAGCAAGAAAGAGCAAATGTGAATAGTTAGACCTTTGTATAAAGTTTTTTAATTAATTTTTTTGGATAATATACAAAGGAATGGGTTTCACCATGGTATTTTCACACATATGAGTCATTACACTTTGTTTTGATTTTTTCTCCTCCGCTCTTCTCTCCCTACCCTTTGCTGTTCTCTGTCCATCCATCCTCACAACAGATCCCTTCCTGGTTTCATGTCTGTTGTGTGACTTTTCCTGGAGGGATGTGAACAAATATCTATTCATCTCAGACAAGGAGCAGACAACAGACCAAAGACACAATGTCACCCAACTCTAGTTTGGTGAGCCAGTGAGTTTAGCGGGGCAACTTGCAGGAACTGGGTGAGGAGTTGCTTACTAGGTGAGCGGGAGGGAGATTCATCACTAAAAGCCCGCTCCAGCTTGGATGGTGATTCACAAAAGCAGCTTCCCTGGAGCTCGAGGCAACACTCACAGTCAACTTTACCATTAGAGACTTTTTTTCCCCAGCAGTCGTTTATGCTTTCATAACTGAGGGCAGGGGTCTTGATACTTGTAACTGCCTGAACTCGAGTCCTGAGGACCTCCCACCACCACCCTCCCTCCAGAAAGGAATGTTTTAGCTTGGAGAAAATTGCTATACCGTGCCACATATATCCCCCCTCTTGTTTCTACTCCCCCTTCCTTTCCACCTCTTCCCCTTCTCACAGTCCCCTTTCTGCTCCCACATTTTCGTATGTGTCGTAATTTCATTCTTCTTTGAAGCTGAGTAAAATTCCATTGTGTATATGCACCACATTTTATATGCACGTTTTCTTTCCTCATTCATCTGTTTACATCTAGATGAGAGGAGAGGAGAGGAGAGGACAGGACAGGACAGGAGAGGACAGGACAGGACAGGAGAGGACAGGAGAGGAGAGGAGAGAAGAGGAGAGGAGACATCTCCTCTAGATGTCTCTACATCTAGAGGATGTACATCTAGAATGGCTCCAGATCATGGCTATGGTGACTAATGCAGCAATAAATACGGATGTGCAGGTGCCTCCATGGTATGTTGGGAATATACCCAAGAGGTATAGAGCTGGGTCATGAGTTAGTTCTTATTTTCGGTTTTGTGTAAATGTTTTCATCTTTAA